GAGGCGGGTGGATCACGAGGTCAGGAGATCGAGACCATCCTGGCTAACACAGTGAAACCCCATCTCTACCGAAAACTCCGGACCTCAGGTGACTCTTCTGCCTTGGCCTCCCAAAGTGCTGGGATTACAAGTGTGAGCCACTGAGCCCAGCCTAAAAATGATTTTTTTTTTTTTTTTTTGAGACAGGGTCTCATTTTGTTCCCCAGGCTGGAGTATAGTGGCATGATCATGGCTCACTGTAGCTTCAACCTCCCAGGCTCAAGCAATCTTCCCTCTTCAGCCCCCTGAGTATCTAGGATTACAAACATGTGCCACCATGCCCAGCTAATTTTTTAATCTTTTTTTTTTTTTTTTGTAGAGACAGGGTCTCCCTATGTTGCCCAGACTGGTCTCAACTCCTGGGCTCAAGTGGTCCTCCCATCTCGGCCTCCTGAAGTGCTGGAATTACAGGTGTGAGTCACTGCACCGGCCCTAAAAGTGATTTTTTTAAACTCTAGGTATAAAATAATTTATCAGGGCTCTTCAAATATGTCAGGGTCATGAAAGACAAAAACAGAGCTGGCACAGATCAGAGGAGACAAAGAAGACACGAGAGCTAAATGCAATGTAGGATCCTGCTAAATCAAATAAAGTCTGTAGATTAGTTAGTAGTATTGTATCAATGTTATTTTGTGATTTTGATAATTGTACCATGGTTATGTAAGATGTCAGCATTAGGAAAAGTTGAGTATTTCTGCAACTTTTCTGTCAATCCAAAATTACGTTAAAATAAAATATTAAGAATATGTACACACACACACAGACAGACACAGACACACACACACACACACACACACACACCCCTCCCTGGTCCTTGACTAATGCCGGAATTTTGAAGTTTGGTTTTAACTTTGGCCTTTCAGGGCCAGAGCTCTTCACCTGTGAGCTAATGGGCCTATGAGACTCTTTTGGGAGAGTAAGGAGGTGGAGAGGTGGGGGCACAAGGACTGTGGGCCTCTCAGGGGCTCCGTGCCAGGAGCCAGAAGGGGTACAGACTGCTCTCCTCTGACAGCCGCACCATCTGCCCAGAGCCAGACTGAGCCTGGAGGGTTCTGGAAGCCAGAAGGATTGACGTGGGGCTGGAGGCAGGGAAAGGCTGTGGGAAGAGAGAGAAATGGAGGACATACGATTTCCAGGTAGCTTGATCTGTTCCAGGCCTGGCTGGGGTCTGCCCTCGCCACAGGTGGTCACGGCTTCTTTGCAAGAACTGCTGGGGCTTCCACCACAGTTGTAGCACCGCATTCGGTTTCCTGGCAGGAGAAAAGAGGCGCTGGACCTGGGCCCTCAGTGGAGCTGGCTGGCAGAAGGCCTGTGTAAGAGGCTAGCCGGCCGCCTCCTTACCCAAGGCAGCCCCTAGCAGGGAGCTGAGCAAGATCCCAACAAACTGGGGTTTCATCGCAGTCTGCCCGTGTCAGGACCGCCTCTACCTCCCGCCCACCCCCCTCCCCTAGCCCGACTCTACCTGCCTTATATCCCCCTTGCCTTGAGCTTTATAGGGCTATAAAAAAAGGAGGAAAGAGTCTCCCCCAGCAGGCACCAGGGGCCCCAGTGGGGACAGGGAGGGGCCCCACGGCATGCCCTCAGCATCCTCTGGAGTCCTCAAACTCCTTTATCTCCAGCAGCAGTCCTGAAACTGTGGACCAAGAAGAACCCCTGGGGATCCCTGATACCCTTTCACAGGGTCCTTGAGGGTCTTCCTTTTGCAACTATCTGTGTAAGATCAGATTTTCTTCATATACTGGACTTCAATGAAAACAACATATCCCAACAGACTGAATGCAGAAGCAGATAGGAAAACCCAGGCATCTCCCACGAAGCCTGACATTAGATTCACAAAAATGTAAAGCAATGCTCAGCTTCTCACTGTGCTGTGGGGAAATAATAGTTATTTTTCACAAAACCATATTTTGTTAGCATGCAATAATTTATTATTTTTATTGTTTAAATAAATCAATACCTACTTTAAATGATCTGTTTTAATTTTTAATATAGTAAATATTGATATAACCTCATAAAGAAAAGCTCTTCAGAGTCTTAAGTAACTTTGAAAAGTGTAAAGAGGTCCTGAGATCAATGTTTTTTAAAAGAGCTGCTCTCCTGGGCACCTGTGTCTCCCCTATCTTCACTCCCTGTTCCTAGTCTTACTCCTCCTGGTACATGCTGGCTCTGATTCCCCAGATGGGCCTTCCTCCTTCCCAATTTCTTCAACCCCAGTCTTCCAGGTTCTATCACCACCCCCCTACCCCAAATTCTATCCATGCCTTCCTTTCTAGTGATTTCTCCCCAGTGCAAGCACACCCGGCTGGCCCTCCAGCCCCACCCATGATTATTTCTTTCCTCCAAGGTAGTAAAGCTGTCGGGGATAATTATGGGGTAGGAATGTTGAAGCTTGGGGGGATCAAAGGGATCTGAAGCTGGGTGGGGTCCGCCCTTATACAGCTGGGCTTTGTGTGTGCGTGTGGGTGGGTGGGTGTGGGGGGGTATTGTTGATTCTACACTCAAACAGATCCACGCCAGGGTTGTTTAGGAGGGTGACCTTGAAGGACATGAAAGCACTGAGGGGGAAAGACAGAGAAAACAAAGACAGAGAGAAGCTAAGAGAGCCAGGGAGCAGCTTGAGACATGGGGAGGGAGGGAGAGGAGTAGGAGGGAAGGCGACAGACACAACTCAGGAGCAGGAGAGGAAGCTAAGTTACAGAGACAACACGCTGAGAGAGCAGAGGAGACCCTCCAGGCAAGGGCAGACTCCTAGCAGGGGCAGGCTGGGGGCCCCCACTGCCTGCGGGTCAGGCTGATGAATCTGGTCACGGTTCCGCCCCCCAGATTCACTCCCTAGGTGTGTTTGTTTCCTGGTTCCTCCCTGTCTTGCTCAAATGTTCCAACTTTACAAATCCCGGGATCTCAGGATGCAGATCACCTCTCCCCAGTTCCTGACCCTGCGTTTGGCCATGGGCACCTCCAACATCTTCCTCTGTGTCCTGTTCCTCTGTGGTGCACTGGGTAAGGGTGGACTGGGGAACTTTCAGCGGTCAGGGGCCTGGGAGCGGGGACAAGGGCATGTGGAGGAACCTGAGGGCTGGGGAGGAGAGGGGTGGGAGCGCTGGAAGAGGCCAAGAAGAGAGCTGGGGGAGTGGGGGACTTCAGGGAGACCAGCCACTGGGAAGGCCAGCCTGATGAGGTGGGAAAGGAAGAGTTTCCTTTCAAAAGCATTTGAGAATAACTGTCTCCTCCTTTTTGCATCTTTGACCCACCCCTGTCTCCCCTATCCCTTATTTCACCTCTTGCTTCTGTGCTGGGCCCTTTGGTCAATGTCAATTTCTATTTTCCTATCTGTCTCTGCTGCCATTTACTTAACTTTTTCACTGACCGCCTCTACTTCCCTGCTGCTGGGTCTGGCTTTTTGTCTCACTCTTCTTATGTCGGTCACTGATTCTCATGGCTTCTGTTCATGTCTGCTCATTTCTCAATCCCTGTACCACTCTTACCTCCATCTCTCTTTCTTTTCCTGCATCGTCTCCCCTCCCTTCTCTGTGTCTCTTTTTTTTTTTTTTTGAGATGGAGTCTTGTTCTGTCACCCAGGCTGGAGTGCAGTGGCATGATCTCGGCTCACTGCAACCTCAGCTACCCGGGTTCAAGAGATTATCCTGCCTCAGCCTACCGAGTAGCTGGGACTAGAGGCACGTGCCACCATGCCTGGTTAATTTTTTGTATTTTAAGTAGAGACGGGGTTTCACCATGTTAGCCAGGATGGTCTTGATCTTCTGACCTCATGATCCGCCCGCGTCGGCCTCCCATGGGATTACTGGCGTGAGCCACCGCGCCCGGTCACTTTTTCTACTTCTGTCTGCTTTTCTCCCTTGTTCCACAGCTTTCCTCTCTCTGCTTCGTGTGTCACCTCTCTCTGAGATCCCTCTCCGGATCTAGCCTCTGCCTGCCCCACAGGGAGGGTTTGGCTCTCCTGCTCTCCTAATCTCTGCTGCCTCAACAGGTCTCACCATGTCCCCTGCCCGGGGAAGGCTCCGCTATTACACCTGCAGCTTGGCCAAACCCTGCTACCCTGTTCCCACCAAGTGTCAGGACGATGAAGCTTGCAGCATCAGTATTGGCACCTCAGGTAGGGCTCTGGTCCAATGGCCCTTCTCCAGGCGGCTCCCTACCTCCATCCATCCTGCCTTTCTTGTGGCCCCCGCCTCAGCATGCCTCCTTCATCCCACAGATCAGAGTGAGATCATCGAGCGAAAAGGCTGCCTCCCAAGGGCCCAGTGCCCTCTGCCGAGCCATGCCACCTACTGGCTGCGCTCCTACATTCTGAGGCACTACTGCTGCTAGCAGGACCTGTGCAACATGGCCGCTTCCCCATGGCAGCTCACCAGCCTCCTTGCCTCCCTGCCCCTCCTTGTGGCCAGCTTTGCCGGGATCTGCAGCCCCCAACCCAGGATTCCGCCACCATCACCACGGCCCTGGAAACACCTGCACAGACACTTTGAGACATGCCCGACAACCTAATTTTGTACAGAGACCCCAGATCTCTCAGGAGACCCCCTCACAGACCCCTCACAAGGCCTGGGGAGGCACCTGCCCAGAGTCCAGCCTCATAAAGAACACCTATTTTGTGTCTTTTGTCTTTTCTAGATGCCCATTGCTGATGCCCCCTGTCAGCCCCGGTCACTGGCAAGGCAGGCATTTTGATGACACTGTGGATCTCAGGCAAAGGGATCAAAGCGGCATCAGGTATGGTAAGGAGGAGAGTCTTGCTAGGGAAGACTAATGTGGTAGGTCGGGAGCTCAGGATGGAGGGCTTGGGGGACTATGAAGAGTAGCTTTAATAAAAGGTCTATCTAGGAGTACAGGAATACTGCAGATACTGCTGTGTGTGTGTGTGAGCTCTAAGAGCGAACTATAGCTGCTTGGTGGGTTGGGCTGGAGCTGGAACCTGGACCACAGCACTCCCCTCATTCTCCATCTGTGTCATGTGCTTCCTTTATCCTGCCAATGGCTTAGTTTAAGCCCCTGCAGCCTGAAGGCGTTAGGTGAGACTTCTGAGAAAGCTTTTCTCCAGTAAGGCCCAAGCTTGAGCAGAGACACAAAAGGGCACCCAGTGGAGCTGCTTGTGAGGGTGTGGCTGGAGCTCAGCTCATTTCTGCCTGAGACTGAGGAATGGCCAAGTTGGGAGCATCAATACCCTCCGTCACTTCACCAGCCCAGACTCACAAACATCCCAGCATGGCCCCGGCCCAATAAATTATACACCCCCACTGGGCCTGCCAGCCAGAGTAGACACTCCCTCTGCCCCCGGAATATAGGGTGTGACCCCAGGGCAGCAGGGAGGAAGTGCCAGAGTGGCGATAGCTGCTCACATGCTCTGAATGCCTGGGTAGAGCGCCACAGGGAAGAGTGTGTGCCTAGGATAAGGAAGGATAAAGAGGGGCCCCGGGTGGGAGCTGAGCACAGGCATCTCTATCCTACTCAGTTCCCTCCCCTTGCATGTGAGGAAGTCTGGGGTTGATTAAAGGTGCTTGTTCCCTCTCCTCTTTGTGAGGATGACACACTGGGTAGTGGGGGTCTGGCTTAATTTAGAGATGGGTTGAGTCTTTCCATTTTCTCTGTCACTCCGTCCTCCCACTTGGTGCTTCTATTTTTTTCTTTCTCTATCTCTTTCCACTTTCTCTGACTTGAGTTTCTTCCCTTCTCTCTCCCCAGTTTTCCCCATTTGTCCTTCAGCTCTGCTGCGATGGATTCCCCACCATTGCTCAAGTCTCCAGATTCCTGTCTCCTCCCTGCTCACACCCATCCTCCTTGCCCCCACCAGCAACCTCAGGCTCCCCTCAACCCCACAGTACTATGGGCTCAGGGCCATCCCTCCACTGGCTGCTACAAGACAGGAGACCAAACCTTTTTGTAGGTGACATCACAAAATAATGCTCCTCCTTTCCTTCAGTCCCCCACCCTCCCCATACACAGCTTGGTGGCTGCTGGACGCCAGCTGGACGGTGAAGTCGAACTCGCAGTCCCGCCCCCCTTGCCAAGGTTGTCGAGGAATACTCCAGGTGCTAGATGGCCAGCGAAACAGCAGGTCACACTTCCCAGCAGATGTCACCAAAATCACCTGGTCTTGTGGGCAGGTGGGCTGTGGGGTTTTCCAGAGAGACGGATTAAGGATACCTCTACTTTTCACGTCCTCAGGAACAAGGGCTCCTCCCCAACCCAACCCGTGTTTCCTCTCCCATCCCCAGTCCCCTCCGGGATTTAAGCCTCTGTTCCCTAGCTGTTCCTCACCCGAGACGGGCCAAATGGATGTTCTCATAGACCTGGATTTCGGGTTTGAACTGAGGAATCGAGGCAGCTGGGGAGAAGGAGCCATTAGGGATACAGAAGAGAAGTCAGCAGACAACTTAGAGCTGTGTTCCTTGCCCCCTCCCCTAGAGGAGGTGGGGTACAGAGGCAGGGTGCGAGCCTAGCCCTTTGCCTCCCACCCATGTGCCCTCTTCTTCCCCCCGGGAGGGAGGGACTCACCTCTGACTGGAGCCCCACGGACCCTCTGCCTCCAGAGCACAATGCTGAGGGCCAGGATGATGACTCCCTGGCCCATTGTGAGCAGCAGCATCAGAATCCAAGACATGTCCCAGTCCACGGAAGGGGCACAGAAGGCAGGAGAAGCATCCATGGAGGCTGTAGTAAGAGCCAGACCAGAGGGATGGGAAGGAGGCAGTGAGGGGGCCTGTCCCTGTGCCCCAAAGAGAGTCCTCCCCTCCACAGTCTGGTGGGCTCTTCCAACAGAAGACTTTGTAAGTTTCCCTGCCCTCAATATCCTCCACCCTACTCTGCCCCTTTCCAGGCCTCTCACCCTGACCCATAAATAGAGAATGGCGGCCAGTCACAGTGGCTCACACCTGTAATCCCAGCACTTTAGGAGGCCAAGGCAAGCAGACCACTTGAGGTCAGGAGTTCAAGACCAGCCTGGTCAACATGATGAAACCCCATCTCTACTAAAAATATAAAAATTGGGGCCACGCACAGTGGCTCACACCTGTAATCCCAGCACTTTGGGAGGCCGAGATGGGTGGATCACCTGAGGTCAGGAGGTCGAGACTAGCCTGACCAACATGGTGAAACTCCATCTCTACTAAAAACACAAAAAAGAGACCAGGCGCTGTGGCTCATGCCTGTAATCCCAGCACTTTGGGAGGCCGAGGCGGGCGGATCACATGTCAGATCAAGATCATCCTGGCCAACATGGTGAAACCCTGGCTCTACTAAGAATACAAAAATTAGCTGGACGTGGTGGCGTATGCCTGTAATCTTAGCTACTTGGGAGGCTGAGGCAGGAGAATCACTTGAACCAGGGAGTCAGAGGTTGCAGTGAGCTGGAATTGTGCCATTCCACTCCAGCCTGGCGACAGAGAGAGACTCAGTCTCAAAATACACACACACACGCACACACACACACACACACAAGTTAGCTGGGCATGGTGGCAGGCACCTGTAGTCCCAGCTACTCAGGAGGCTGAGATGGGAGAACAGCTTGAACTCAGCAGGCAGAGGTTGCAGTGAGCCAAGATCGTGCCACTGCATTCCAGCCTGGGCAACAGAACAAGACTCCATCTCAAAAAAAAAAAAAAAAAAAAGCCAGGCATGGTGGCTGACACCTGTAATCCTAATACTTTGGGAGACCAAGGTGGGCAGATCATGAGGTCAAGAGATCAAGACCATCCTGGCCAACATGGTGAAACCCCGTCTCTACTAAAAATACAATTTTTTTTTTTAAGATAGAGTTTTGCTCTTGTTGCCCAGGCTGGAGTGCAATGGCGTGATCTTGGCTCACTGCACCCTCCACCTCCCAGGTTCAAGTGATTCTCCTGCCTCAGCCTCCCGAGTAGCTGGGGTTACAGGCATGTGTCACCATACCTGGCTAATCTTGTATTCTTAGTAGAGACAGAGTTTCTCCATTTTGGTCAGGCTGGTCTCGAACTCCCAACCTCAAGTGATCCGCCTACTTCAGCCTCCCAAAGTGTTGGGATTACAGGCTTGAGCCACCACGCCTGGCCTAATAATAATAATAATAAACAAAACAAAATAAAATAATAGAGAATGGCAATGCCCCCTGCTCACACATGGGCAGCCAACTACAGAGCAGACCACCAGCCATAACCACACTTTCCCCTCACACCCTTTATAGTAATTCACCCTTTCAAGAAAAAATAGCCAGGTGCGGTGGTTCATGCCTGTAACCCCAGCACTTTGGGAGACCAAGATAGGAAGATCATTTGAGGCTAGTAGTTTGAGACCAGACTGGGCAACATAGTGAGACCCTGTCTCTACAAAAAAGTTTAAAAATTAGGGGAGGCGCGGTGGCTCATACCTATAATCTCAGTACTTTGGGAGACCGAGGTGGGCAGATCACTAGAGGTCAGGAGGTTGAGACCAGCCTGGCCAAAATGGTGAAATCTCGTCTCTACTAAAAGTCCAAAAAATTATCCGCGCATGGTGGTGGGCGCCTGTAATTCCAGCTACTTGGGAGGCTGAGGTGAAAGAACATCCCTTTCCGTCTCCTCCCTCGGTTTACCTGCCAGGCTAAAGCTGACCCCTTTGTTGTGAGTCATGAGGCAGCGGATGATTCTTGGTCTTCGGCTCCTGGGCTCAGAAAGCCCCTCCCCAGGACACACCAAGAGCAGGGCAGCCTCACTGCCCCAGAAGGACTGAACACGGCCCTTCACGGGACCCTTCCCTTCCTGCCAGGTCACAGAGTCCATGCGTCTGCTGGGGACCACAGAGCACAGGAGGACATTGCAGGGGGATCCATCTGCAGCCCTTGCAGATAACTGGGATCCTGTGGGGGAGAGAGGGACCCCTCAGTTCTTCACCTAGACTTCCTGGCCCACAGTAGCCCCTGGTCTGCATGCCCCCACTCACCTTTGAGCACCAAGACGTCGTACACCCTCCAGTTCTGGTAGTTGTGGTGCTGACCTAGCACAGCGCACCAGTACCGCCCGGCATCTTCCTCCTTGGATCCCTCCAGCCACAAAGAATAATTCCCCAGCAGTCGGAGCCTGGATTCCCTTCCTGGTTTTCCAGGGTCTGGGGCTGGCCTGCCCACTCGGACTTGGGCTACCAGGGTGGTGAAGGAGCCTGCTGCAGGGCTGCGGAACCATGACAGGTGTTCGTCTCCACGTAGAGTGGGTGGTGAGGGACATGGCAGTTCCATTGCCTCCCCCAAGGCCACATAGATGGCGTGGATGTTGTCTGTGGGAAGAAGGTTGTATGAGGCCAGAGACCTCCATCAGATCAACAATCCCCCATTTGATCTTCAACCCTGACTTCCTCCCCTTCTGGGGTCCCCCAGCACGGGCCTGGCTGGTGACCACCTTTCTCAAGTGACAGCTACAAAAATAAGACAGGTGGAAAGATAGGGTAAGGGTTTTCCTTGTCTCTCCCCCAGACAGTGAGGGGGTCTGAGGGCAAGAGGGAAAGGGCTGAAAGAGTTGGCAAATGCCCACATGTCTTCTACTCATTTCAACTTTTCTGAAAGCATTTACTCATTCTTCTTATTTTATAAAGGAAACTGCATAACCTGGATCTTCGTTGCCCCTGGGTCTTCCCTAGTGTCAGAGGCAGGAGGAGGTCAGTTGGGGTAATTCTATCTTCTTGAGTCAGATGCCTTTGCCAGGCTCCTAGGAGAAAGAGCAGCAGTCCCTCCCCAACCTTGGAAACAGCTAAGGAATCACCTACCTCTTGCCCCTTACCTGCAGCCTGGGGAGTTCCACATAGGAACAGGAGGAGGAATAAGACTGCCATGGGGAAAGCCTGCCAAGTTCTCTTGCTCCAAGACCTGGTGTTCCCAAGGAGGAAGCAGAGTCCAGATAAAGGCCCACACTCACTGGTCTGGGGTGACAAGGGCCTCTGGAGGGGATGGGAATGCTGGGGCGATAAAGTCCAGCAGCATGTCTACTAGGGAAAAAGTGACCACCACTTTTCTGTCCTGGAGAGAAAAGGACCCAGCCCAGGGCACTCTGAAGATGACCTTTTTGCTCTTCTGATTCCACATCAGCTAAGGGACTCAAGTAAAGACTTTCCATGCAAAAAACCATGCAGGGAAGTGGTCCTGCCTGTCTAGCTCCTGTCAGTCTGGAAGTACATTCTGAGGTCTCTTTCACTCCTAAGAAATGTCAGCCATGAGTTGGGTGGATCACTTGAGGTCAGGAGTTCAAGACCAGCCTGGCCAACATGGTGAAACCCTGTCTCTACAAAAAATACAAAAATTAGCCGGGCGTGGTGACATATGCCTGTAATTCCAGCTACTCAGGAGGCTGAGAGGCACTAGAATCGCTTGAACCCAGGAGGCAGAGGTTGCAGTGAGCCGAGATCGTGCTACTGCACTCCAGCCTGGGAGACAGAGCGAGACAGCGAGACTTCATCTCAAAAGAAAAGAAAAAGAAGAAAAAAAGAAATGTCAGCTATGACTGGAGAAACTGAGTTTTCACATTGGTCCTCCACAGAACCCAGCACAAGACTGTGTATCCAGTCAGTGTCCCGTAAATGATTGGGAATGACTTTCCCTGTGGCTGTCTGGCATACCCCAGACCTCTCCTGAACCCCTGATGAGTGTATTAAGTTATTACTCAAGGAGAAGGATAACGGGCTGATTCATCCTTCTGAATGGCAAAAACTCCTAAGGCAGATCTTCATGCAGTTATTATAGTTTTAATGTGTCATTTATTTATTTTAAAAAATTATTTTGATGAAATATTCCATACATACCAAAAACTATATGAAGTATAACTATATTATGGATAAATGGTGGTATATTAACACAGTAGAACACTGGACAGCAATGAGAATGAACAAACCCAGTGATTGCAACAAGGTTGAATCTCACAGCATAATGAGAGGAAAAGAAGCCTGGCCAGGCATGGTGGCTCATGTCTATAATCCTAATATTTTTGGAGGCCAAGGTGGGTGGGTCGATTGAAGCCAGAAGTTTGAGGTTGGGCAACAGAGCAAGACCCCAACTCTAAAAATAAAGGCCAGACACGGTGGCTCATGCCTGTAATCCCAGCACTTTAGGAGGCTGAGGTAGGCCGATCACGAGGTCAAGAGATCGAGACTATCCAGGCCAACATGGTGAAACCCCATCTCTGCTAAAAATACAAAAATTAGCTGGGCGTGGTGGCGGATGCCTGTAGTCCCAGCTACTCAGGAGACTGAGGCAGGAGAATCGACTGAACTCAGGAGGCAGAGGTTGCAGTGAGCAGAGATTATGCCACTATACTCCAGCCTGGCGACAGAGCGAGACTTCGTCTCCAAAAAAAAAAAACCCAGAAATAAATAGACTATTCCAGGCCGGACTTGGTGGCTCACGTCTGTAATCCTAGCACTTTAGGAGGCTGAGGCAGGCGGATCACCTGAGGTCGGGAGTTCAAGACTAGCCTGACCAACATGGAGAAACCCCCTCTCTACCAACATGGAGAAACCCCCTCTCTACTAAAAATAAAAAAATTAGCAGGGCATGGTGGCACATGCCTGTAATCCCAGCTACTTGGGAGGCTGAGGCAGGAGAATCACTTGAACCCCAGAGGCGGAGATTGTCGTAAGCCAAGATCGGGCCATTGCACTCCAGCCTGGGCAATAAGAGCGGAACTTGGTCTCAAAAAAAAAAAAAAAAAAAAGAAAAGAAATAGAATATTCCAGGCCAGGCACAGTGGCTCACGCCTGTAATCCCAGCACTCTGTGAGGCTAATGCAGAAGGATTGCTTGAGCCCAGGAGTTTGAGATCAGCCTGGGCAACATGGTGAGACCTCGTAAAATTAGCCGAGTGTGGTGGCGTGGGCCTGTATTCCCAGCTACTCAGGAGGTTGAGGTGGAAGGATGTTTGAGCCCAGCAGGTGGAGGATCAGGGCAGTGAGCCATGATTGTGCCACTGTGCTCCAGTCTGGGCGAAAGAGCTAGACCCTGTCTCAGAAAAAAAAAAAAAAAAAGAAAGAGAAAAAAAGAATATTCTGTTTCAGTCAGAGATCCTCTATGCTGTGTAACCATGATTCTGGCCAGGCGTGTTGGCTCAAGCCTGTAATCCCAGCACTTTGGGAGGCCGAGATGGGTGGATCACAAGGTCAGGAGATCGAGACCATCCTGGCTAACACGGTGAAACCCCCCGTCTCTACTTAAAAATACAAAAAAATTGCCGGGCAAGGTGGCGGGCGCCTGTAGTCCCAGCTACTCGGAAGGCTGAGGCAGGAGAATGGCGTAAACCCGGGAGGTGGAGCTTGCAGTGCCGGCCACTGCACTCCAGCCTGGGCGACAGAGCGAGACTCCGTCTCAAAAAAAAAAAAAAACAAAAAAACACCACGATTCTGAATTTTCTTTCTTCTCCACTTGCTTAAATTTTATGTGTTTTTGAATCTAGTATTACTGGTATCATGTATACATTCTTCTGCGGCTTTCTATTTTCACTCAGCATCACGGTTTTAAGATTCATTTCATGCATAAAAGTAATGATTCACTTATTTTCTTTTTACAAATATTCCCCATATCTCACCGTGCTGAATTTTCATATCCAGGACCATGGTGTAGCTTTCCATTTATTGAAAAGCTTTTTGTTTACCTCTTTCTTTTTTTATTTTTCACTTATTATTGTTATTATTTTGAGGCCAGGCTCTGTCATCCAGGTTGGAGTGCATGGAGCAATCTTGAACTCCTGGGCTCAAGCGACCCTCCCACCTTGGCCTCCCAAGTAGCTGGGACTACAGGTGCGCACCAACACACCCTGCTAGGTCTTTTTTTTTTCCTAGGTATTTTGTGTAGAGATGGGGTCTCACTATGTTGCCTGGGCTGGCCTGGAACTCCTGGTCGCAAGCAATCCTCTCTCAGTCACCCAAAATGTTGGAATTACAGGCGTGAGCCATGGTATGGAACTCCTGGACACAAGCAATCATCCCTTGGCCACCCAAAGTGTTGGAATTACAGGTGTGAGCCACTGCGTTGGGCTAGTTTACCTTTATTTATTTATTTAGAGACACAGTCTTGCTCTGTCACCAAGGCTGGAGTGCAGGGGCAAGATCTTGGCTCACTGCAACCTCTGCCTCCCAGGTTGAAGCAATTCTGGTGCCTCGGCCTCCAGAGTAGCTGGGATTACAGGTGCGCGCCACCCACGCCAGGCTAATTTTTGTATTTTTAGTAGAGACGGGGTTTCACCATGTTGGCCAGGCTGGTCTTGAACTCCTGGCCTCAAGTGATCCGCCCGCCTCGGCCTCCCAAAGTGCTGGGATTACAGGCGTGAGCCACCGCGCTGGGCCGGGCCAGTTTGCCTTTTCAGTAACTTTTTATAGTCTTCTTCATAGCATCTTGCATTTCTTGTACTAGATATATTCCTAGACACCTTATCTTTTCTGTTACTCTTATCAAGTACTCCTAATCTCACCCCTCGTTTCCGCTGTCGCTCTAGAGTCTGCCAATAATGAGACAGAAAAAAATTACTGAGCTATGCCTGGTAATTTTCTGATTCTCCGCGTTCCTAAATCTTCCACTAGTTTCGGACCACTGCTGCACCCGTAGCCCCAAACTGCGCGAAACTCTTCTCGGGAAGCACTGAAAATGTCGCAACTCGCCCGGAGGCGGAGCCGGTACGGGCTGACGTCAAGGGCACACAACACCTCAGAGGCAGGGAGGGCGGGGCCGGCAGGGGGACCTGCTGCTGGAAGAGCAGCGGCCCAAGCCAGGGCCATGGCGAAGCTGCTGAGCTGCGTCCTAGGCCCCCGGCTGTACAAAATCTACCGGGAGAGGGACTCTGAAAGGGCCCCGGCCAGCGTCCCTGAAACGCCAACGGCAGTCACTGCCCCCCATTCCAGCTCCTGGGTGAGTCGAGTTCCTCCCCGCCGAGGAACGTGGTACAGTCCAAACCCTTTACGGCCTTTGCTCCTCAGAACTGCCCATAATGGGAAATAAGGGGAGCCTGCTTGTCAAACCAGTCATCCGCAAAGTCTGCGCTCTGTGTGCTTCCTGAGTTAAAGTCACGCCTACGGACTGGCCGCCTCCTTTCTTTTTCGCTCTTTACCGCTTTCTCATTCCGACTGCCACTCCTTGCTCTTTCCTCTCCGCGTCCCCCCACCCTGTCTGTCGTGGTTCGTGCCAGTCCTAGTTGAGTCTTAAGTCCCGGGAAAGAGACCCTGCGCGGACTGGGGAGCCGTTGAATTTTGCCGTCGAACTCCCAATTTCCTCTTTCGCAATGCCTCTTCGTGCCTCCCTCGGCTCCGTTTTTATCTTCCCTTTACCCTCGCCTTGAATTTCAGAATGACTTTTACAGATCCAGTATCCGTAGGTCCTCCCCTCAACCCCCGCCCAACCTAGCCTGGAGACCCGAGTCATTGTATTCTGGAGAGCGGGCGGGTGGTGGTAGGCTGTTCTAAATATTATCTTCCTTTTTATCAGTTGTCTCACATTGTGTTACTGTCTCCTACAAACTGCCCGCTCCTACCCACATTCTCTTCTTAGTCAACTACTCTTATTTCTGATGCTTTTCTTTCCCTCTTAGATTGTCTTGGTGTCTTTCTTCTCAAACTAACCCTTCTCCCCATATGCACGCGCCTGCAATCCATTTTAAACTAGACTGTGGAAAAGGAGCAAAAATCGTCCAATGCTGCTTTCACTTTTGCTTCCAAGTCCAGCTCCCTGTGTTTGTTCCCATGGTCAGGGGTGGGAAATTAGGTTCAGAGTGAGGGTGAGGAAGAGGGTTTTCTGTGGGGGCCGGGGATGTCTCAAGAAAGATAGTCAACGAGATTAGAACCGGAGGACACACAGCAGAGCTTCTGAAAGGGAAGGAAAAGGACCTGCCAGTGGCAGG